CAGTAAAGCCAACTTGCTGACACCAGTTGCGGTGAAAACAAGTGCAGCGTTTATTGCAGGTGCCAAACAAGGAGTCTGGGCAGCTAATGCTCAAAAGACCTGAACTTCTTGTTTGGCACCCGCAATAAATGCTGCACTTTCTTTCACTGCAACCCAGTGTCAGTAGATTGGCCTTACTGTGCGCGGGTGAGTGGACGCAAATTCAGTTCAGTAACAAGTTTTGGTGACCCAGATGGGATTTCCAGCCCATCTGGGGTGCCAAAAATTGTTACTGAACTGAACTTGGGTCCTCTTGCCCACACACAGTATTACATGTCATGGTTAGTTATACTCTGTGACAACTTCAGCAGAGAATTTTTCTCCATATAATTTAATATACTACATAATCTTAATTAGTTTAATATTTCTCTCTGAGATGCCTCAGGAGCCCTTTGGAAAACTCAAAGTCATCTAGAGAAGGAAACTTACAACCTGTTGTCAAAAGCAGCTCAATATTCCAGGAAAACTTTACTCTCTTAACAGAGAGAGAAAACCACTTCCAGTCTGCACCAGCTTACTTTTAATAGCAGAGTTCATTTAGTTAATTAAATTCAATCTAATGTGAGCCAATCTTGACCCCATGCAAAACTCTTTCCTTAAGGTTCCTTTTCTACAAACCTTTCATCACTTCCTGTATCTATATTAGTTTGTCCATTATTTTTTCCCTATCCAGAAACAACCAAAATTATTCTCCCTTTTTTCCCTTAACAAAGATATTTCCATTCTTTATACCTTCTCTCACTGACAATGTATATCCTACTTTCTTTACACACTGAAATGCTTCCCTTATTGCTTTTAGTAGTTTAATTACACATGTATTACAATTTTTAACCCTTAAAAACTTTAATCTTTACTGAAAACCAAGAAGCAAGTAATTGGACTTTTCTTTATATCAGCATGTTTTGATTGGCAAACTTATGAACCACCTCTAGAAACTGTTCCTATAGCACAGTTTTTCTCTTTAATGTGGTACAGGACGTGTGTCTAATAAACCCAAACATCTTTAGTTGTTTTTCTCTCTCATAAGAAGACAGGAGGTGAACTTAGACTTGTCTAGTGATCAGTGTTAATGCTCAAAAGATCTGAACTCCCTGTTTGGCGCCTGCAATAAACGTTGCACTTTCCTTCACCACAACCTGGTGTCAGTAGATTGTCTTTACTGTGTGTGGGCGAGTGGACCCGATTTGGTTTAGTGACAGTGTTGGTGACTGAGACGCATCCTGTTCAGCAGCTGCCTGAGCACCTTTGTCTCAGGGGCAGCCCCAAGACCTTGCCACCAACCAGCCATCCTTGGCCCACAGCGCTTTTGATTTTTGTGATAAAGAAACAAGGCACTTGCATTGGCAGGTTGAGATGTCTTTGGTAAGTAATGGAACTCACGTGTGGTGACCTCAGAGTATTCTTCCCTATCACACTGACTTCTGTAGCAGAATATTGGTTGGGATTTTCCCTTTTGGACTAAGGCTTGGTCATTTGGCTTTTTTTTTTTTTTTTTTTAATAAAGTACTCTTTTTTTTTTAAATAAGTGTATTTATTTATTTTTGGCTGTGTTGGGTCTTCGTTGCTGCGCGCGGGCTTTCTCTAGTTGCGGTGAGCGGGGGCTGCTCTTCGTTATGGTGCGCGAGCTTCTCATTGCGGTGGCTCCTCTTGTTGCAGAGCACCGGCTCTAGGTGCACAGGCTTCAGTAGTTGTGGCTCGTGGGCTCTAGAGCGCAAGCTCAGTAGTTGTGGCGCACGGGCTT